GTGCATTCCGCGGTGTCGACGACCGTGTTGGCGAATTGCGCATTGTGAGGCCCTCCATCATGAAACTTCGAAGTCCTACATACTGACGCACACACACACTCTGTTCAGATATGCCACAACTATCTCCTATTTACCTAGGGTGGCTATGCTACGTACCAATCGACCTTTGACGTTTAGGTGGATGCAGTGGCCACACACCGACGCCAAATTGGGGTACCGTTCTTTAGAGATGGTCTCGGGCTATTAACACGGAAATGGCAATCGAAACACTCATTTGCACAATCCAGGAACAAAAAATACGCCTTTTCTTTTACATTGAAAAGGGCAGAAGCAGTAATCAAGCGAGCGAGCTGACTTCACCATAGATCGTGAGTAAGCTAAACGTGACTGAAGTTCGCAAAAAAATCTTTAACTGGAGAAATATTTTACACTTCAATTGCCCGAAAATGAGTGTTTTGTTTTTTATCAGGATGACTCTGGTAGCAGAAAACTTTAATGAATTCACATAGAATGTTGAGGTGATATTGAGTTGGTTTCAACTCGACGGTCAGGATCAGTGCTAAGAGTTAATGCTAATCATCTAGCATTAACTTCGGTTCACATTGTAAATTTGAGTTTATGAGATGAACATGGATACCACGACCTACCATGATTGCCGACGGGCAGTCAAATAGATTTGCGTTCATGAAACGAAACACAAGTAACAAGCCTAAGATGTTCTACTCAAGAACAGCTTACCATCCAAGTTAAATTTGCTTGATAAAATTAACGCCTTGTGGGCCAATTTTTCTGATACTCGACATCTGATAAACCTTCGAAAGTGCTTATACACACACGTAGTAAACAATACTTCAGGATGTACCAGTCGGTTAAGCCTGAAGTCGAACTTACTGTCACCCGAGGCAGAAATTCGTAGGACGGGGGGCAGCGTCACCTTGCCATCCTGCACCGCCTCCGCAAGATGGCCCTCAGGAGGCGGTGCAAGTTCGGGATGGGTCCCGCCGAATACGAAGACACGCCCGTCAACACCCAAAGGGACAGCAACGGTCCTCCGTCGTGCCGGCGGCAGCGGAGTGGCGCAGTTCACGCGGTACCAACGACCCTCGGAGAGCGAGAACCGCCGAATGTCGTTGAAGTAGAACTTTGCGTGCAGGCGAGGGCATTTTAGGGAACCAAATGCCACAAAAATGTTCCCGGCATGGTACCCTTCGTAAAAAAGCTTTCGTTTCAGTCAGGCATATAAGCCCAAGAGACGGCTAAGGCTTTACTCGAACACAGGCAAATAAAGTTGGATATGCAAATGAAAAAAAAATCCGCTTGGTTGCAATAAGAGGGCATAATGTTTACGTCGGTAGCAACCCCAAACTAAGCTGGTCAGTCCCCAAGCAGTTGGGAGAAGAGGACTCACAGGTAGACTGGCTCCTCCGTCCCAGAGGACACGCTTCGTCATCTGAGGATAAACCGGAGGTGAATGCGTCCATGAGGAGCATACTTTCTTCATTTGCAGTAATGAGAGAGGCTTCACGCAGCTCCATCATGAGGTGGGGCGTGAGAGGAAGAGGCGTGGAGCAGTCAACCACGGGCCGGTGAACGACACGCCACGTACACGAATTCCATGCCGTTGGGTCAAGAAATCCACTACAAGCCGAATCCTGATAGGGTGGAGCTATGTGTCGCTGCAGACAAAGCGGTCGCGTGGGTGTCGAATGCCAGACTTCGTTAGGACTGGAGAAACACGAAAACACGGTGTGACTCAATCAGAAAGGCAAAGCTAGGGAGGAAAATGGACCGCAAAACGTTTCTGACATGGGCAAAGTGCTGTCAGGAATAACTTCAAGAAAACACTACCAGAGGGTTGCTCTACACCGGCAAAACCCAAAAAATAAATCTACATTAAAAATGTCAACGGGCCATAATAGTCAAAACTCACATCAATATGAGTTAACACTGTAATCAATTGTTGAAAAGAGCTAGATTTGCAGGCAACATTACAACAAATGTGAATCAAGTTAAGCTAGAATTGTTTTCCATACTCGTCACACAAGTCCTCACGCCACTGGCCAAGCAAAGTCTCCTCTACCATTATACCGAAGTTCTTTGGCCCACGAGATCTTAGACGGCAGATCTCCTCGTAGGGACAGGGCTTTAAGGCGGTGGCGTCATTTGGTACGAGTTCCCACAAGATGGCGTCGTACACGTCTTCGTCATCTTCATCAGGGGTAATGGACCGACATCGACCGCCAAACATGAAAAGGCGGCCACAGGGAGTGACAGTAAGACTGGCAAAGTCCCGAGGCAACGGTTGTGTCCCGACGATGTCTATAGTACTCCAGGACCAGGTCAGGAAATTTAGTCTGTAAACGGTGTTGTCCAAACGTTGAAGCTAAAATCGATGGTAAACACCACTTGAATGCACACTGTACACTAATTACGTGAATTTTTGCCAGAAAATCTACTTACCTCATCCAAGTAGCCACCGAAGATGAACATACAGTCGTTAAGCACAGCCGCCGAGTGTCCATCGCGTCGAACGGGTGGGGCTCCGTTGATTCCGACGACGCGTGCCCAGGTGGGCGAAGGCGTTTTGCAAGGAGTGAACATGTACACCGACTCGAAGCAGCCAAACCCATCCGTTCGGCCGCCGTAGAGCCAACCTCGACCGCGCCAGGCCACCACAGAATGACCGTATCGCCGCCGCGGTTTCTCCGAGCTTGACTTTGGAGAGAAATAGTGATTACGCTGGGACCCGTTATCTGATAAGCCAACAACTTTAATAGATAAATTTTGTAGATCAGAGTGGATCGGTGCAACTATGAGGTTGAAGGAAGCTACCTACTTTCCCCATTAACGCATGTACCTTCAGAACAGAAGTTTGTGGAAAATGATTTACCGTTAAAATGAAGATTAAATGAAACCAAATTGGAGAAAGACATTGCTTTTGAGACCAGTCGTTTCGGCAAGTAAGTTGGAAAGTTAAAAATGGGATTCAGACAAAATAGGCAAAGGATTAATTCAAACCTTACAATGAGGTATCTTTAGCTGATTTATTATCAATCCACGAGAAATGGAAATCATATCGATTTCTGAAGAAACAGGAAAACTGACAGAAAACTTCTTATACAAAGTTCCATGTCTTCTACTAAACCAAATTAACGAAACTAAACCTGATTACTATAAAACTAGTTGAAAGATAATTAGTATGCATTACAGTTACACATTTGGAATATTAAAGTGAACTCTTGCAAAGTATATTAGAATGATCAGAAATCGTTACCAGTTGGGCTTCGTAAGTCTTCTCACGACAATTCCAAACGTAACATTTCAATGGAAGCTGTAAACCGCACCATCTTGACAATGCTTCAAATAAAAGAGGGGGGTGTAAAAATACGGGAGTTAAACAACGCTGTTCTTGTACTTAACATGAGCACTAAAAATGGAATGAAACTGGCAGCTTAAAAAACGGAATTAAACTGCACTAACTAACTAAATAGCTAGGAAAGCTAATCCCAACCGCATTTAACAAGTAACATTAACCCGTATGAAATAAATTCAAGAAACACAGATGGATGCAACTTCACTCGGTTTTGCTGACCACCATCACCACCATCAATCACAAATGAAACAACCAAGCAGCAAGATTTCGTGAGAAGTGGGCAGCTAAGAACGTTTGAAGTTAGGGTATTGATACAGGATCGAGCAGCAAGTAGTCTGTTAATTTATGTAACACGAGCACGACTCAAATATGGTAACAGAGAAATATTAGTAGATAACGAAACTTTCGAAAAAACTAATGTGAAACTCACCCAAATCATATACAAACAAATCAATCTGCGCAATTTCCTCATAGGCTGTACGCTGTTCTCTGAAGTACCCTCCGATAATGTAGACGCGATTATCCAAAAGCACGGCTTGGTGATTGACAATGCCTTGTGGAGAGTCGTGAAGACGATCCCAGGCATGAAGCATTTTAACTGAGAACCTGTAACGAGAAGTGGAATGCATGACAGACAAAACAGCATATTTATAATGTAAATACGAGAAAACAGTACTGCTGTTTTTAGACCGATAAGCAACTTGTTAAGAAATAAAAAACATCCCAGATTAAAAGATCTTTGGTCGAAAATAGTGGGATAATGATGTAGCATCAAAAAAGAGTGATATTAGGAAACCATAGCTCTGTCAGCATCCATGAGAGGCAAAAATTTGGCCGATTATCAGGTTTTCTCTCTAAATGAACCAAAATATTCATTTGACGACATAAAAATGCACGTTATTCGAGTTCTTGAAGGTGGGCATGCATCCCTGCAATAAATTAGAATATTAACGAAGCGGTTCCACAAGAAATCTGGTATTGATGCTGACAGTGCTGTGACTTAGAACAAGGTCTTTTGAGTACGAAGACAATTGTAAAAATGGAAATCCACCATTCTACTAGACTTAATACAAATTTCATGACAAAATTAAATCAAATTTAAAAGAACACATAGACAAAAGAACACATACATCAATGAAATTAAATAGTTCAAAAGGTAACGGAAATAAAATGGAGCAGAAATTCTGAAAACTTGACGTGAGCTACATGCTAAAAGACAATTACGAACCAAGTGATAAAATTTCAGCAAATGCATAATTATACTTACAACTAGACGGCCAGCCAATAAAAGGCGCTGAGCAAAAATATGCTCGAATGCCTGATCTAATCCTATGGATTACAGTTAACCATTTGACAATTGTGACGACGTATATGGGCGCAGACATATTGGACCACGTTGGCCTCTGCCTCTCTTCGTTATAATGGCAAGCGAAGAAGATGAAAAGCCAAGCAGAGAAAGAAACGAATGAAAAATAGTATATAAAAAGCGGCGTAGCTAACGTAGTGGATTAGAATGGTCGGATTTGACAGGTCAATAAAGCCTGTTCTGTCGAACCAGTCTTCTTCATAGTAATGTTCGGGTATTCCACGCAATATTATAGCGACAGATTCGGGGCACAGACATAGTGGACTACGCCGGCCACAGACAACCAGCAGGCTCTTTGTGTTCGAATGGCCTGTGACTAATCATTTTTTCATACAAAACCTTTATAAAATTACGATCGAATCTCTTGTCGCGGTGATGAAATTATTATGTTTTTTATATTGGCATAATCTGGTAATTTGCGTAATTTATTACAATTACCACATCACATAATGGTGGGTTACACCTGCTGTTTTGATGCCTCTTTTCCTGGTGAGCATAAAATGAATTTATATGGACATATGTCGACGCAGTTTATCGGGGACGAAAGACCCTTTAACATCAATTAAAGTGCAAATTCTGTAACGTCGGCTGTAAAAATTAGAACACCCTATCAATTTTTTTGTCGTATTGCTCTTTTTAAGTTTTACAAAATATAACATAAAAATATATTTAAGCAATCAAGAAAACAAAATAGCTCTGAGGATGGGAGAATAAACCAAACGTGATGCTTTTCCCATCCTCAATGTAGTAGACAATAACCCATTGCCATTGTTGCAGCAACGAATAGGGGTTTAAAGTCTATTGATTGAAAAAATCATCTGTTATCGGCAGGTGTGTGTCGTAAATAGCAGGAACCTATACGAAGAAATGTCGGAGTGTAATATAGAAATGCATTATCATTCCATGGAATGGATGTAACATTAATATGCTTCTTTACACCAAGAAAAGTATATGTAATCAGCCCTATCGTCTTACTCATCGCCATCTACTAAACAAAGTTTGGTTTTTAGCAAAATACGTTGACAAACTCGATAAATAAGTTATAATATCGCTTTTACCAAACGTCAAATCATTTTCATATCCATAAAACTAAAATTGTATAAACTAGTGACAGATGTTTGCTGATAAATTGAGGAATTTGGTATATTGGTAAATACTGAAATGATTACTTAATAGGTTAATAGTTTGAAAATGTAAGGCAAAAATCAGGCCGGTTTGTTACTCATCTTTTCTCTCCATAACTTTAAAAGTATTGTCAACCTAATTGGCAAGGTTATAAGTTTCAGAAACAAAAGATTTAGTCGTGACTTAGATCTATAAATCGTTGTCGTTACAAGAATTCTTTATAGATAAATTCATTAAATTTCCACAATCAGTTAACGAAATTACAATAAAAGTGGTGTAGGGCTCCGATGGTTTCTTTAAGCAGTGATAACTGTCTTCAGAGAGTTTGCACAACAAATAATGATATATAAATTAATTTTTTTTCTATACTTATTGTCATAGCAAGTGACAAGTTAAACAAAAGTATCTATCTTGCCAAGTCCTTGGACACATTCATAGCTGGTGCTTAAATCATTTACTGATTGACAGTTCAAAACAGGTCACAAGTAACAATTTGCATTGAAACTGATACCAGTGACTATAGCTCTCAATAATCAAATTCCAAACTAAGTTTTTGCTGCAAAAAAGCGCAGCCCTGTGTCGGAAGATCGAGAGACCGACAAAGAATCTGATAGTTTATTACCATCACAGATTTTTACTTGAAGCACAAAAATTCATTTGCAAAACTGATACGACTAGTAGTATTTTTGAGTGCTTTCTATCTTGACTTACATGTTTTGCAAGGGTTCTGGTGGTGCACGGGTTTGTTACACACTTTATGAAAAATTGTGCTATAAAAGTTCTTGTGGTCATCTAGAATGCATATTAAGCTGTTCAAAAGTTTTTTTCTTGACATTTTATAACATATTTGCTTGCGATTATATTATATTTTATTGAAATTGTCATACGCGACTCACGCAGTAAAGGAAGGCACATTGTTGGTTTATTTTTTCCATAAAGAATACTCCACACCAAAATAAAATTTCGGAGAAACGAAATCTAAATTATTTAGCTAGATTGAAATCCATTTATGATGATTTATCAATAGTTATTTGAGCTGCAATTGAGAGTGTTTTTTTGAACACATATCTTGTCTGAATTTTTGGATCTCCTCATTTGCCTTGAGCTGGTGAAGTATGATTGCTCCGCCTGGGTTTGGGATGCCTCCTGATAAAAAAACACAGAATGAAGGGTTTCTACGTGGTATTTATGAAGATCCATACAAATGGTAGTGATGTTCTTTGAATATTAACTTTTCTAGGTCCCTTATTAAAAGTGTTGTAATGTATGGACTTGGAATTTTCGGGTTCTTCGTTGTCAATGCTGGTGTCAATGCCCCTCCAGACAGTTTGTAAATTTTTTGTTTGCTCAAGCAAATAAAATCCTTTCCCCTTGTGTTTTTGATGGACATTTTTTGACATATATCGGAACTTTCTATAGCGCTTATTATTAAGATGGCGAAAACCGACATACACTCTTCCATCGCGTCCCTCGAGTCCTGTCGATTACGCCTAGCGAACCGCCGTCAGCGTCAGATTAAACTTCGGCAACTCATTCTGCAGCATCTGACTGGTGATGCACATGCTTTCGCACCTGGCGACACTCCAGCTAATGCCTTCGACGAGGCCCTATACCAGTGCACGTTGTCTAAAGCCCTATCAGATTGCCTTGGAAATAAGTCGGTCAACATGACTTTATTCGATGAAAAGGCTAGGAGAAAGGCGGTTATCATGTGAGCTCCCTCTGTTTGATGCGTAAAATGACATAACCTGTGATTCTGCTTAAAGTGTGTTTGAGGCTTATGCATTTTTTAGTCTATTGTATGGAAAATGTGGGTATTTATCAGAACGCGCATTATACCAGTTGAACAATTTTTGTAATGCATTAAGATTTAAAATAACTAGTCCACAAAATTTTCCCTTAGATGTCCATTGTGCTTGGCAATATTGTTGTCGTAAATCACTCGAAATCCCTTCTGGATGTCTAGGATCATGGTTTTTGTAGTTACTCGAGTGAACACGAATTCCATAGTAAGAAATGAGTGCTTGCTGTTGTGTGTATCAGATCATTTTTTCACCACTTTTTACTCAATACAAAAAAGTACGAAGCGAATTCGGTTGTGATCAACTATTCAGTGACGAAGTAGAGGGACCTAAATTCTGTCTTAATGGGTTATTTTCAGTCAGTTTATCGCATTTTATGGTGAATAAACGTCTATGGGGTTACCTATTCTTGTTCTAATTATCGGACTCGAGAAGTTACAAGTGGAACACGTTTTCTGCTACTACTTCGGCTTTGTCACTTCTCATGGGCGTCGACTAGTCTTTCGCAATTTGGATGGTGTTCATCGCTCGGCCGTTCCGTGTAGATTTTGTGTTTTCTGGCACTGGGCATTTTTCCACACCATCAGTAGCAACATGCGAATGAACGGTGTCCAGGCAACCGCCTTCGATTTCCGGCTTTTAGTATGATCACCATGCGAGCTTTAACCATAGCCATGTTGTAGTCATGCAGGTTAACTTCCCGCGTAGGTGCTTATTTCAAACCTTCTCTGTTTACTACTTTATCAGGGAACGAGTTAACACTGCGATCTACCACAGCGCTTGTCACACAACATCGGAAAGCAATAATTCGCGTTGTTGAGTGAAATTTTATCTGGAATTAACTAATTTAACGAGGTGTTAGTACATGGAAAAATTATAGATTCGATTATTTAATTTCTGGGGGTATTGCGCTAGACGTCCACTTATGTCAAGGCTCCACAAAAGCCAATGTATCGTCGCGTGATACGACTGGTACAAACTATGCCTTATTAACCAGGTCCAGTTTTATGCCTCGAACCAATGAACGTTCGCTGTCTAAGGGGATTTTGAGGTCCTTCACTGCCTTTTGTTAGGCCAGTTGTACGACAACTTCAGCCCCCACAACTCTCAAGCTCAACCCTTCGGCTTCTGTCGCAGGGCGTCGATGGGGCGGCCCCTTCCCAAAAGTTCACAATTTCCAACGGGCGCCTCGTTTGCCGTGACAGCGACACTCAAGTTCCCAGTGAGGTTGGCGATCCGCACTCTAAGGACACCACGTACACTGGGACGTGCACTTTCCTCAAGGGAACTCAGAGCGCAAATCCGCACAACGACTACTGCCAACATTTCGTCGACACTGGGGAGCGCCCGCAAAACTTCATCCGGGACACTGGTAGCGCCTATGTGAATTTTTTTATCTAAGTAACCCATCCTGTAGTGTCTTGGACATTACTTAGTGCTTAGTCCTGCTTAAAATGGTATTGTTTCACAGTTATTTCAGTTAAACACATCGTGAATTTGGACTGGTTTCGAGTAGAATTGGAATGCAGAGTTTATTAATCACAGTGCCACTTAATTTTCTCAACGTAGGTTAGATAGAATGCTCCCTCCATTGATGCGTTTATTATTAACGGATAGTGTAAGGTTCTCCAATCATGCAGTTTTCACGTCCCCGTTAAAATCAAGGTCGGCTCCAAAATTTACCATCTCCAATGTCCCCTTTCTCCAAGTCCGCAGTTGATTGAGGTGGAGTGTTTTGTTTCAGGATTGAGAAACCGATTCGAGGAGTACCCGAAACTGCGAGAGTTGATTCGCCTTAAGGACGAACTCATTCAGGCACGGGCCACACCACCGATGTACTTGAAAGTCGACCTTGCAAGCTTCAACCTGCAGGACCTCAATTCGGTGTTCGATGTTATCTTGGTGGAGCCTCCACTGGATCGCTCCTGGTCGTGGCAGGAGGCGAGTTCTCGCGATTTTTTTAATTCCGAGTGCACCGCAGTACTGTGCGAATTTGTCCTAGCACACCGACCACGATTTGAATCCGCAATTATTTTACAAGTGAACACATGTACTGCCAGGTTATGCTGCTTTAATGTAACCACCAGGCACTACAGTACTCAGCGGTCATGATAGTTGATTGATTTAACGAGCGACTTGACGTAAGTTGCCTCACTAACCAGCGATGCATTTTTTTACCAGATTGAGAGGCTTGAAGTTGAGAAGATCGCTGCGCCGAGGTCGTTCGTCTGGATTTGGTGCGACAGCGGTGAGGGCCTCGACGGCGCTAGAAAGGTGTGTCCCCTCTTCAAATATCATCGTATTATTCGTAGTATTCGCTACTCGAGTTAATGAAGGTCTCTTGTATTCTGGTCTCACATGCTTACTTTCACTGTCCGGTCGATTAAGTGAGTGTAAGCATCTAGACAGTTGGATTTTTCCTCCAATACGATTTCATTCTTCAGTGGAGGCAGCCGCGTTTCTGTAATCTTGTTACGTTTGCCCGTAACAAAGAAAAATCCACTCAGAAAAAACGATACCAAATCCCCCGCTGACGCTAAAACCGACCTTCCCACGCTAATGCAAGAACAAGACCAGAGCTCGTGTAGAGAGCTTTAACCACGTCAGCCACGTGCGGAGTGATTTGTCCAAAGTGAACACAAATTCAAGTCAAGGTTGGCCTTGACCTGATAAAGGGCGTAACAAAACATGTTTGTGAATTAGTGTAAATAGCGCCAGAAACCAACGACGCGCAGTCTTTGGGAGTCGTGGATCCCCAACAATTCCGCTATCCGTCTCATCGTTTTCCATTATCCAAACTGGGTGCTTGGTACAACCAATTAGCTGTTGACAACCTTGAGAATAGCGGGTCCTAAACACAGTAATTACAAGTCATGTTTTTCACTTGGGCGTACCACTATGCTTGCCTACTTTCATCCACTTTTTAATGCAATGAGCATAGCACACTCATTGATGGACCCATTTAACTTGATTCGTTCGGAGACCTTTTCAGTGCGAACTGACGGAAAAAGTGTCAGTTAGCCAGCACGTTGTAGAACAGAGGGCAAAATTGGTAGCAGATCTGCATGCGCCATAATTTTGGCGCAAGTTGTTTTTTCAAATGTGTTATGAATGTGCGCCGTGCACGTTCCAACAGGTTTGGTTAGCAGTTCTTAAAGGCTTCCAAAGTTTTCACCTTACGTGAGGCAAAAGTCATTCTTCTCTTTGCTGATAGCTGCTCCTTCACGAAGGTTGTAGTGCATTTTCTAAGCGTGAACTTCGTGATTCATTTGTTGACTTTGAGTCACATTTTGGTCCAAATGCGTGTGCGCTCAGCAACGGCGGGTGAGTAATCAGTGGTTCTAATCGTACTGTCAGCAGTCGTGGGCACCTGGCTAGTCGATCTGCCAGGTTTTACTCAAGTCTGGGTGCTGTTGTCTCCCCATGCAGTGTCTCAAGAAGTGGGGTTTTCGTCGGTGCGAGGATATATGCTGGATCAAGACGAACAAGACGTCACCGGGTCACGAGCAGCTGGAGCCGGGTGCTCTGCTGCAGCGCACGAAGGAGCACTGCCTCATGGGCATCCACGGCACCGTTCGCCGCTCCGTCGACGGCGACTTCATCCACGCCAACCTCGACATCGACCTGATCATCAGCGAGGCCAAGTCACCCGGCAGCTACGGTGCGAGGGACAAGCCGACGGAGATCTTCCACATCATCGAGCACTTCTGCCAGGGGCGTCGGAGGCTGCACCTCTTCGGCAGGGACAGCACACTCAGAGCTGCAAGTCAATGCCTTTTACTTGGCCTCATCTTACATTTGTTTGGTCGCAAGAATTGCTTTTTAATCGAAAGGCAATCGTCATTTCAAAGCCATTTGCTGTTCAGACCTCTGGGTTTGGCATCGACTGAGACGTTTCCACGCAACCCTGTCTCGTCATTTTATCATCTGGTAGAAAATGGCCGTTTATTTGGCTCACGGTAGACGCGAGCCAGACTCAACTGAACCGACTCGGCCCGAAGTGCTCGACATTGGCACTTCCAGGCCCAACTTCGCTTGTTTTTCAATGTGCACATCTTAAGAGCGCATCCTGTCGACCAAACCCACAGTTTTTCTGTTCTACCTCGTTACCGAAAGCAACAGGTTATCCACCCATTGCAAAAGTTAACAACTGTCAGTCTGTCGATATTTTCATCGAATTTTGCGTCCTCCTTGTATCACACAGGACCAAGTCGTATTGAACGGCCTGCAGTCTCACAAAAATTTCATTGTGCCAACTCCGATTTCACAAATCCAGTGCGCGGGCTTGTCAAATTTTGTAGAAGGAAATTTAACTTTAGTTTCGTGGTGGCCGTTTTCAAAGCTGTGAAGTTGGCACCTAGCTAGCTTGGTGAAATTTGTGCATTGCTATTACCCTGAGGTTGTTTTTTTCTTGTCAACGGTTGCAGGGTTGGCTGACGGTGGGCAGTGAGCTTTCCGCAAGCAACTTTGACGCCCAAGTCTACAATAGTTACTTCACACGGGAGCCCAACGGCTGCCTGCTAGGCAGTTCGGAGGAGATTGAGCGCCTTCGACCCAAGTCACCCCCGCCGCGGTTTCAACCGGGACAAGCGGGTGTTGTTGCGAATCCGCGGATTGCCGGTGGCAGCTTGCCGACTCAAGCCGTCGCTCTGGCCAACGCTGCGGCGATTGCCGGACGCACGGACTCACCTGTCGTTTGTATGCTCATGCTGCCATTGTTACTAATTTGATTATAGTAGCGTTTAATATATAGGTGTAGTTGACACCGTCTATATCCCTCTACAGCCTCCAAGATTCCCATCTTCCCGTCCCTTCTCCCGTCGTCTGTGCAACCCTCGACGCGTCATCGGTCTGGTTGGCAACGAGGCGGCGGTGGTGGTGGTGCTGCTACTGCTGACGCCCACTCGCACATCCAGTCCCTCTTGTCGGGCACTTCGGCCTCCACGGTCGCCACCCCCAACGCCCTCCTTGGTCTTCTCATGTCTGCTCAAAGCCGCCGAATTCAAGAGACGCTGTCGAACCCTCTCTGGGCCTCTCTTGGTTAGTTTTGTCTACAAAATCTTTGGAACCAATTGTTTCACAAATCTGTATTGCCAAATTTCCATGCAAACGCTCGTGTAAGTTTCGTTCATTTGAGATAGGCGTGTACCGTGACTAAGGTAGTGGGCAGGCGAAAGTGTTCTCGAAATTTTACTTTGAAAGGGGAAAATATGCGACGAATAATAGCGAGTATAAACTTAAATGAATCTTTTGTATTAAAAAAAACATTCGTAGCTGAACTTACCTCTCCAATAGCACAATGTGGTGAATTTTTTCCCGTTGGCACGTATTGAAACAAGGAGAATAGCCTGCTCAGAAATCCGTGTTTGTAAATTGCTACTTGCATAAATTCAGTAGATATTATGTTATCATGTAGTTGGACGGGCCTCACGCACCGAGAGTCCTGTAATCGCACCAACCACTAATTTGGCAACCTTGCAGACAGCCCTTCTGCTTCAGCAGCAGCAGCAGCAGTCACAGCAGCGCTTCTCCCTCCCATTGGGAACGCAGACACCAGCGACGACAGCAAGAATCGGGTTTCTCAGCGACAAAGCGGCCCTCGCGATGCAAATGTTCACCGCTGCGGCGTCTTCGCTTCGTCCGGGTGATTTCGCTGATCCACGTGGACGCTCGACCCCTTCCTCGTTTCAGTAACGGAAATTCCCTGCTTGTATTTATTCTATTCGTGCTAGTTTTACCAGTAAAGTCTTTTCAAATCTCTCTCTATTAACAATTGAGCTGTCATTTTCTCTCGGGGCTACACCACGAAATCACTTGGCCGACTGATTTAACTGACGCATAGAATAGGCTCGAGTCATGCGTTTTATACACGATGCGCTAACTTTGGAGGAGAGGCAGCAGGGGAAAAACCAACCAGACGCGGACGATCCTTCAATCCTCAGCTTCCCCGCGTTGGTGAGGATGACCCGGTCACCTTGTCCAGCTTTCTGTTCTGGCAATGTGGCTAAGCAGCCCGCGTGCGAAGCTAGTTTGTTCTGTCGACTTGGCACTTTGTTGGGCGTTTGCCTGCGGTCTTGTCGTTGCACGGCCATCAGCGCTTACACGTTGGCCCATCGAAATGCCCACGAAGGTGCTCACTGTTGGGTTGGGATCTGAGTCCATGGCGCAACCGTGTCCCACTGCGCTTTTGAAGAGCCTCTACTCCAAAATAACGAATCGATTTGATTCTGTGGAGGTAATTCTGTTACCTAAGTTGGCGTGATGTGCGGAGTCACGTTTGGTGGTTGTACCCTCCTCTACTCCTAATTTTTTAGAGTGCTCACTTAGCCCCAAAGTTTTAGAGTATGCTGCACAGATGTTGTTCCTTGTCACTAATTTCTTGCGGGTTCTCTATGCCTTGTTCATAATTCTTACTGAAATTTACACTCGTATTTGCTCCGTCAACAGAGCTGTTAGAAACGTTTCATTAAGGTGGCTTAGCCGGAAAAGCAGCGAAATCTAATCCAAGTGCCTGTGGCAATGAAGTGGCAAACAAATGAGGTTGCAGACAGTAGCTCTAGTCACAGAAAAATCCCTTCACAACCTCTAGACAACACGAAAAGCATTGACGTGGTTCACATAATCGTTTCACGCTGACTGAATCGGAGTGAAATGGTTTCGGATCCCACGCGAACTGTTCCCGCCAATTGTGAATCATTGCTCTCGCGTCAGCATCGAGCACCGCATTGTCCCACCCACCACTTTCTCTTGACATTACACGTCTTGATAATTAATTGCTCCATGTCCGGGAGAAAAATTCGGATGGTCATAGGGTGACATCAGGGAAAAAAGTCGAAAACGAGCTAGAGTTTTAATATTTTGCTTCTAAACCTAAAGAATTACACTGAGTGGTATTTAAACACTTGTTTATGGGAGGAATGAAGTTATAAAAGACAATGGAAATCATGTTTGCGAATGTTATCGCACTTCTGGTCGTCTGCACTTTAAATTGAAGCCTTGTAAACGTCACTACGCTTGACCAACCTTGTACACCTGAAAGCTGGCATGTACCCACTGACCCACCACAGTAACTCCAATCATTCCATCATCACTTAAATGTGATCTCGTCAAACATGTAGATGGTTCACAAGTTGCGATGCGATCTCCGCGACAGGAAATGGTTATGTGTTTCCAAAATCGCCGTCAATGATCTCGCCTGGTTTGTTTTGGCACCACCAAGTATACGGCGTAGTTTCATTCTCCAAACGAGTAAATGGTATTACTGTGCCTTACCTGGTCAGTAGTCAATGACAGTGTCAACGATAAGGGGGTTCAGTCCACTCAAACAGACCGTTTGCACTCAAAGCAAAGCCCACACTCACTCGGGATGATCAGTGGTGGTAGTAGCAGCAGCTTCAGCAGACGCATCTGCGACAACATCGAGATGACATCTCAGCAACAGCGCGGTTCATTTTCACTTACACTCGTCACTGCAGTTGTCTCCCCCCTTCTCAATTGCGTTAAAGCTTGTGTCTGTGCGTTCAGCCTTGCCATTGATGCCTGATGATGCAACTTGAATATCGAATACATGAATGTGATGGGTGATGCTGGTCACCGAAATAGTGGAAGAAGTCAGTAACAAAGGAGAGTTCCAATGGTGTCAGTGTCGCAAATCACACCAAGATAATTCGAGGAAATTGAAATGTTTGAAGTGGGAGGAGGAAAGGCAGGTGTGCCAGCATTTGGGCGTTGAATGGATGCAGCGAGTTGAAATGTTTGTCACTTTGTCAGTATGTGGTAATGTCTGACATCTGGTGAGCATAGGATGCTGGTGGCAAAGTGGGTTCGAAGCCTCACATGCGCCATCAGTGATATATTCTTGCAGCACACAAAGGGATGTGGGCTCGCAAACCAAAAGCTGTCGTTGCCGAATTATTGGACACAGTCGAATTCCGCAAATAACACTCGATCTAGACAACACCAACAGCATAGGTGTAGTAAGTTGCAGCTGACAGAGCTTGTGGTGGACGTAAACTTTGTGCGTTAGGAAGAGCAGATGTTCATTGCAGCGGACCTCGCATGCATGTGAAAGCTTTTCGCATTTGTCAGGACAGACAGGTTCACAGACACAGCTATAGAAACCAAGTTTGTTTGGGATGGATTCGTCACGTTGCTTGGCTGCACCTTCAAGTCACGACTGCGTCTTCACGGGTTTGCGCCAAGCACATCGTCCTTCACAGGGGCTTCAAAGTATTGCCGTGGATGTGATGGTGCCTAGCATTTCCGGTTCCCAGGTCGGGTCTCAGTTATTCGACATTTTGATAAGACATCTTTCTGCATCTTTCCCTCTTAACTTCTGCACAACACTCGTGCTTTTTTCTACCGACTGCGCATCACTAACGGAAGGTTCCTTACTGCTACTACTTTTTGTCCCGACTTCAAAATCTAGAAGCGTACAATTGGGCGAATCTGCATTTGAAGGCACTGATGGTGTCATCTCCATGCTCAAGCAACCGCACAGCGTAACACATGTTGCAGCTGATTGTGGTTGATAAACTGCAACTTCGATGAAGGAGATGCGTCCTGGTTTGGTACATTGGACAGACGTTGTGTGGGAGTGATGACCAAAAATATGGCCCTTTCAAGTTCGAATGATTAGACCGCATTTTTGGGCGATTCGTGCTTTTCATTGAAAAAAGTCACGTTCATGTGAATTCATTCACTAACCACTTGTCCAGACGTAAATGGCAGTAGTGAGATATGACGGTTCAGTTAACACTGGAGGATCGTGTATTCACCAGATGCAGGAGTCGAATTTCAAGAATTCTGGTGGTTTTTAATAATCATGAAAATCTGCTGCTTCAATGTGTACGTTTCATGCAATTATGCCATTTTTCTCCTCTCAGCAAACGATTGTTTATTCAAGCACATGACAGTATAAGGAGTTTGTGTTTGAGCTGCTTCATGTTATGCCATGGAGGTACCCTGGTGCATCATTCCAGCTTGGCTCGGTGCATGAATAGCGAGCATGCGGTGAGTTTGGCCTGAATTCGTCGTCATCGCGCGTCAATCACTCTCACATCACTTCGGGTGCATTGCGTGTTGCAGTTTGATTAGAAGAGTTGTGGTGGTGGGGTTGGTAATTTTTCAGCCATACAGTTATGGGCGTGCCTCTTACTCTCCTCATTCTGCCTTGCCACTCTCGAAACTGTGAGAGTGTAAACGGTCTAGTCACGCTTGAGCAACGAGATACTTGACAGTTATCTAGAAACAATTCCAGGCCATTTAAGAGACCATTTTTTAAACGATGAATGCTGTGGCGGGTTGGCACTGGTACCAGTCATGTGGTCCAATTATCAGTTGTGCTGCGTTGCCATCAATTGGTTTATTCGCACTAGAAGGCACTCTTCAAGTAGTACCACAACAATGCGATTGATTTTGTAGCATCATTCGGTTTTGTGTACAAATTTTTCATTATAGGTGGCAGGTTAGCGGGTGTGCATTCCTCCTTCCTTTATGTCAGGGCAGCAATGGCTGTCTCCACTACCCGCTGACTTTTGTGCTGAAAGTTAACACAGAATAATGTAAGGCCAATCCAGATTGGCCACCAATAATTAATTAAGAGAATACTTCCCCACTTCACCTAAACATGGCGTTCTCCTTTTGCTTTTTTTGGTGTAAACATGCACTCATAGGCAGTAGTAAGTTACAAAGTCGCATTAAACACAAATGGGCGTTTGGTAAATTCATTTTGTGGATCTTATCATGTGTCAGTTTATCTTTTTTCCACCAAATGCATTTCCTAGTCGAACGTTATGAATGATGAAATGGCATGAATTCTTTGTCAGCACTCGTCATTCACTCTAACACCACCTCGGGAGTATTGCGTGTTGCAGTTTGATTAGGAAAGTTTTGGATGTGTTGGTGGTGATGCTGATGCTGCGTGATGCCTCAGCCATGCAGGTATTGACATCCCTTTACCCTGCCTCCTCACCCCCGAAATGGACCAGTTTTCTGCTCTACGGGGACGAAGATAAACTGCATAGTGAAATTGCAGAACTGTTTGGCACTTTGTTTGAAACGTGTTTTGTCTGGCTTGTGTTTAGCAAGACATGTATGACCCAAGAAGCAGATGAGCTACCAGTGATGTTTTCTATGCAAAACTAGGCCACAACAGCATCAGCAGCATTGGCATGGTACGTAGTCTTTGACTGCACATGCTTTTGACTTGACCTCTGAATCGCGTGTTGTAAAAGCATTCACCGTAGCGGTAAGATGCCAGCCAGAGATTGGTGATCAGGCTGCAGAAACCAGGTTTATTTGGCCATGCCGTGTCACTTCACGTGTCGTGCACCTTAAACAATTGATGCATTCCAAAACTGAGCTACGATAAAATCGAATTTGCCCAATGCAGTTTTTAGTTTACTGATTTACAGTGAGGAATCTTCCCCTGACTTGAAATATATATAAAAACGGATTTAGTAAGCGATTAAGAAAATTTACTTGACATTGAAATCGAAAATGGCATCCCGTTTATTTTTTGTCTGTTATCATGTTTTATGGTGAAATAATCAGCTAATTATAAAATGTATTGATGTAAATCAGCTGAATACCCTGCGCTTGACTTCGCATCTTATCAAGCTTAATGTCAGTGAACGGTCCATAAAATTTATTTCGAAATATGATTTTTGAAGGAAATTTCAGATGCCACAATGCACCTGCAACTGAATCCAATGCGTATTGTTCAGGCTTAAGACTTTGACTTAGATGCAGCTATTGGGCTTTGCTAAAATCAGTCGATATTAAATATTCTTAATTTACCTTCAGATCAAACTTGGAGGGAAGTCACACTTTTTAAGTTTCATTTTACTGTTTCAGAGGTTGCCTAAAAATGAGTAATTGGTGAGGTCTGGAAATATAAATTGATGTGTAAAAAAAGCTCTCAACTGTAGCCATTCTCCTGGCGGTGGCGGTGGTTCGCGCACAGGGGAAATTCCAAAACTGTTTTTGTTTTCGTTGTGCATTAACACAAGGGAGGTTTTTCCTACAATTCAGCCTAAGGGCATTGGTCTGGCCTTTTTATGGCTGTTAAAACAAAAGCGCCTACGGGCTGTTTTATCGACACAAACAACGAAGACAGCTTCTTATTTTTGGTAGGCCCAGCATTCAATCTTTCG